AAGCACAAATTTGATTGGAAGAGGATGAACAAAGCCAAATGTGATTAAAATCTTCTTCTATTACAGAACAGCGACAACACAGCAAACTAGAATGATAGAGAGAAGGATGTCAGATTTTAAGAATTTCAATTGTGGAAAGCATTTCCAAAAGAAATTTGTATTTTTGTTTTTTGAGACCAGAGTCTTGATATGAAGTTGATGAGGGTAAACCATTATCATTAAGGATAAAGGTGGATGCTAGCCAATTGATAGCCATAATGTTATAACGAGAAAATTGTGTAGAAGATAGAGTGTCTTGAAATTGAATAGATTGAAAAAAAAGTTTGATGAAGTATTTGGGAAATGTTAAAATTGGAAGATCTTGGAAAAATATGGAGAAGTCAGGACCATATGAAATAGGATCAAGAGAAAGGATAGGACCATCCTTTTTTGCGAGAGTGTTGACTTCGTTATTAAATTGGTCAGATACATGAGCCTTGATTTTAGTGAATGATATAGAAATATTTTTAACCTCTATAAGGCAGAAAAATGCAAACCAAATTGGAAAGTATGAGATGTTGTATAGTGGATTATTGGTTGGAGAGCATCATTTTAGGAATTCAAATTTATCAAAATTGTCTATGACCGTATAAGCATCAGTACAAATATTAATAATTGATGAAGTTGGGGAAATGTATAAAGCAGTAAGGATGGCCAGAAGTTCAGCAAGTGTAGATGAAGGTGAATTAAGAAGAAGTGTGGCATTAAAAGCAATAGACGGATATAGTGGGTTGGTTTGTAGCCAGGCGATCCCTATACGGACTGAAGGATTTCCTAGTTTAACTAAAGAACTGTCAGTATAGAATTGTAAGGTAGAAGCATTAGTAAAATAAGTAGAAAATGAATTAAAACGCTTGATAGAATCTTCGTCAAAATAATTAAAAAAAGGAGAAATATTAGTAACTGAAGAAGCAATTTGATTACTTGGTAAAGTAGATAAAGTCACTGGAGTATTAAAAGTGGCAAAAGCCAATTCATGTAACATGAATGGTGATAGAGAACACCACGTGCCTTTCAGTTTGACAATTGATATTTTTATATTTGCGTATAACTCTATGGGATTTTTAAAAAACAATAGCGATTCTTGCCAAACATATTGGCAGCTCTAAAAGTAGTGTTGTCTTGTAAGATACATCCATTACACGGTTCAAGAATTGAGTTGAGGTTATTGTTATGCAATACAATATGATGTTGTAAATAGACAGTATCCTCAGTAATAAGTAGTGTTTTACCCACTATAGAAGTTTAGAGGCCTATATTCCAAGTAGTGGCATAATTGGTCATATTTTTCTTGAATATTAGAGGAGCAATACTCAACTGAGTTCAATTAGGATTTCGCATGTGTAAAGGTATCGACCAAGACGAGGAAGTAATAAAAAGAATATCTTGCAGTTTTATAAACTAACGTTGAATAGCGCGTGTTGCCATTTTAGAAGAAATAAAATTAATGTTATAATGTGTAAAAAGAACAGCTCCATCATTTGTGGTGAGTTGGTCAAGAAATATGAGTTCTTTGTTACGAAGTGAAGAAGAAAATACTCTGTAATCAGTTTCATAAAATAAGGTGATCAGAGGACAATGACCACCTTGAATACTGCTAGAGAGTTGGGGCGACAGATTAAAAGAAACATTGAAATGATTAAATGTCGATAAAAGTGAGGACTACCAATCTTTAAATTTGTTAGGATTTGTAAACGGCCAATTATGTAGCAGGGAGAATGGTAGCCATTCTTTAGATTGAAGTTGAATAGCACGAATTTTAGACATAAGGCCTACCAGACCTTTATCATTGATAATTTTGAAAAAATTTGAGGTTTTATCTTGCAATTGTTTGTCATATAGGTGGAATAATTTGTAATGTAAAGGTGAGTGAATGATGGTACTAGGAAATGATTTAGAAAATCGAAGATTATGTCAAAAGAGTCTATGAAAAGACCTCATAATGTTGTTACAAAATGTTTCAGATAAGTAGGTCAATTATGTACGGTACTGGATTTGAGGCAGGAGGACAGAGTTGAAAACAGAAACCATTTGTTTGTCAGTAAGTCTTTTTTTAGCCATCAATTGGATTGCTGATTTAACTGTACAAGTAACTTGTCAGAGAATAAATTTTTGATCATATTTTAATGAGATCCAAATTCTGAGATAGCGAATTGGTATCTTGGGGTCTGTTAGAGTGATTCACAAAGGCTTGTTATTAAAATTAAATTGGACTGCTGTAATAATTGGTAAAGAGGATAAAAGAACCGATTTCTCCCAGTTAACTTTGATAGAATTAAGGTGATAAAAACTATCAGCGATATTTAAAATATTATTAAGGTCATCTTTGCTGTTGCCCAGCCATAAGGTATCATCTATATAAGCAAGAGCAGGTACATGAGCATCAATTGCGGATGAGGTGTTGGTCAAAATATTGGGTTTCCAAGAAACATTAGCGTGATATCCGTGTTGAATTTTGAATTCTACATAAGAGCGGATCATAATATATATACCATAAAATTGGTGATATAATTTCCCCTTGATCGATGCCTAATAAGACTGAAAAAATAGGGGTATTACCGTACGCAGTAAACACTTGATTAAAATGATTTGCGAAAATAGAAAGGATGAAACATCAAAAATTGGATAGAAGTCGAAGATGAATTAATACATTATGAAGTAGGGTTCCTCAAAATCGAATCGAATCAAATATTTAAGCAATTTGAATTTGATTTGAATTTTTCAAATCGAATCAAATCGAATCGAATTGAACTCAAATATTTGATCGAATCAATTTGAATCAATTTGAATTTGA